TGCCTTAGTCTCATCCATGTGTTCTATCCCTTTGGTAGCGTGGGCTTTCTTGCATGTGATGATCTGGGGTAGTTGGGCTTCTTCCCTGGAGGCTGGCTTCCAAAAGGAAGGAAAGAGAGTCTGCCAGTCCTCTGAAGGCCTGTGCTTAAAAATCACGGAATGACACCTCTGCTACAACAAAGAAACTAGCGTCAGTCTGGATTCAAGGAAAGAAAAGAACTTCCACCTCCATGACTGGAGACTAGTTGTCTCTAATGTATTGTAACTATCTTTCAGTTTTTCTTTCTACTTTAAAGTGTTTTTGATAAACTGATAATAATAAATTTTGTTGTAGTCAAGTCTATCTCTTTTGTAGTGAGTGCTTTCTGAATCTTTTTTTTTTATAGAGGCTTTTTTTTTTATTATTTATTTGTTTGTTTGTTTTGTTTATACATGCACTGGGTACAGTCAGAAGCACGGGAGGGTGAGAGAATTCACCGGAGCCAGAGCGGGGAGCAGAGCAGGCAGAAGGACCGAAGTACACTGCTGAGGGGAGCAGCGGGCGGCAGGAGAGGTCTGTGCGCCGTGTGGGACCCTCCTCCGGTGGCCGGGGAGCAGCCGGGGATCGAACTGGCGCCGCAGTAGGCTGGTGGCAGCTTCGCAACCCAGCGCTCAACCGCTGCGCCACCGGGGAGGCCCGCTTTCTGAATCTTGTTTAAAAATTCTTCTCTTGCTCTGAATTTTAAAGGTATTCACCTTTATTTCCCACTAAAAGATTTTATTTCTAAAAGTTTTATTTCTGGTGTTAAGTCCTGAAGTTGATTTTTGTTATGGTTTGGGTAGGAATATGATTTTATTATTTTTATTTTCCAATGATTATAGATTACCCCTCCTTTTCCCGCTTATCCAACATATGATCTCTGTTATATAGTAAGGTTTCCAAAATGCATGGGTCTATTTTTGGGCTTTCTGTTCTGTTCCATTCCATAGGTCTGTTTGTCTTATTGGCTGTGTCTTAAGTATAGTAGCTTCACAATAATCCCTAATACTTTGAAGGGCAAACTTCTCCCCTGGACTCCTTTTTTAGCAGTGTCCTGGTTTTCCTTGGTCCCTTACTGTTCTGTATAAATATTAGGGGCTCTCAACAGGAGAATTTCTATTGAGACTTTTAAAAAAATTAACTCTTGAGGTCAATCCTGGAGGAAAATTGACAAGTTTTTGATATTATCTCCCTATTCAAGAAAATAATATTCCATTTATTTAGATTTAAAAAATTATCTGAATAGAGTCTAAATTATGATTTGCGAAATTTATTTTGAGAGATATGATGTTCTTTGATGCTATTGTAACTGGTGTTTTCATTTAATCACATTTTTTTAGTTGTTTGCTATTGTTGCACAAAAATGCAATGACCTTTGTATATTGTTCTGATAGTCAGCTACCTTGCAAAACTCTCCTCCTATTTCTAAGTTTTTTGTCTGTAGATTCATCTGGGGTTTTAATGTAATAATTTTATCATCTATGATGAATGACAACAGCTTTATTTTCTTTATTCCAAATATGATGCCTCTGCTTTTTGTCCTACTTTAAAAAACTTCTTATTCTTATTTATTGTTCAATTTTCATTTTCAATTCTTACTGAAAGCCATGAGTTGAATCAGAAGCAACTGAGATTTAGAGACTGAAGTCCCTTTGTGTATTCATAAAGATCAATAAATTAGTCTATGTCTGTTGAAAGAGGAGGCTGCAGGAAAACAAATATAGCTTCTCCCAGTGGTAGTGAGGGAGAAAGGGCTGCCCCAATGATCTTCAGCCTCAGAAGCCCCATGGATTCTTTTCTCTTTTGCTCAGCAAGTTATATTTTGAAAACTGTATCAATTATTACGTTAAAAAAAGATAGATACAAGGTTGTCTTTTCACAAAACTCTGCTTCTTAGTGCCATTGCCCAACTTTTAGAGGCTGGCCATTGCCTTGCCTTGCCCTCTTTGAGAAAGTTGTTGAGCCTCAAGTCTAACCATTCAGGTAGCACATTTCCACCTAGAGTTAAATCTCCATGAGACGCTCAAAAAAATGATTTGGAAGGTTGGATAGAGTTTTTAGCATTTCTAAAACTCAGACTTTTTTTTTTTATTTCTAAATCCACAGTTCAATTTTCTTCAGGATATTATTGAATTCTTTTTGATTCTACCGATAAGTTGGCTTGTGATACATATGACATTTGAGACGAAGGGTGAAAATATTACTGAAACTTCAAGAAGAAAAAGAAGGAATTATTGAATAAAAACATTGAATTAAAAAAAATTCTCACTGTGACCATTTAAAAGTTACTTAAAGAAGCCAGACTTCTTAGTATTAATTTTTGAATCAGTTTTTAAATGTAATTAATTTCTCAGAAAAAAATTCTTTTTCTTTTCAAAAAGAAAGTATACATTTGTTATAGTTTGCTTCTTATTATTTAACATAAGCTTGTGAATCTTTGTTAGAACTTATTTCATATGACAGAAGAGTATCATGTAAACTTGGCTAATATGCACAGTTAATCTATAAAAAACACGATGTTTGGCACGATTGGTTTGATAAATTACTTTAATAGATTCTGCTTTCAAGGACTTTTTTTCTGATGGCACAATACAGAAATTAACAGAAGACTTGGCTTATTTTTATTACTCAAAGTTCACTACCAGAAATTTATATTTAGCTTATATATCTATTATATCAGTCACCTTCCAAATGTCAATTTTGACCTTAATCTGGATAACTATGACACTCCCTTGCCCATGAAATTACTAGTTTTTAAATGTGTACCGTAAAATTATTTATTGTTCACAAAGTTTGTACTTTAGTAATTAGCCCTTGGTCTTGGTAATACAATTAGTAAAGGCTACTGAGCTGGTATGTCTTTACCCAGTGAATATTATAACAGTTTTATTTAGCGAAGCAGAATGAGTAGGGTATCATCAGAGATAATTCCAAATAAAAGATGCATTGGAATCACAGATCTTAGGCAATTGTTAAGGCTACCACTTAAGATTAATTACAGGAAATAATGTATGTTGCTGACTATCTATCTATGGGTGGATAATAAACCAGTGTTGTAGCTGCTAGATGGGGGAAGAGAGTTACAGAATAGTGGCTGACATGCTATCTCTGGGGTCCTGGACTTAGGTCCTAATTCTACCATTTGCCAATTATGTGATTCTTGGGAAAATGAGTTAACCTCTCCACTGTGTGTCCTTATCTGTGAAATAGAGCTGAGCCATCTTAGGGTCCCCATTCTGCTCTTTACATCCTACTCTGTGCAAGTTCTATGTGAGGACTAGGATGCAAAGAGAGGCTCCCTGTCTGTAGTCAGTAATCTTAGAGGTGCATGGTGCCCAGTGCTCTATACATGTTCTCTTTAATTACTATTATTGTTATTTTAAAATTGATAGTGCTTCTAACCAGGTGTAAATCTTCTAAATTTTGAGAGTAATAATTTAATATTCTTCCCAATAATTAATCTGGTGAAATGCTCTCTGGAAAAAAATGGGAAAAATAAAAATCTTTGAAAGGAAAAAATGCTTGTAAATGTATAGATGTCTTACCTTAGTTATTATATTCCTTATTATAATACTTTTTATAGAAAGAATCCCAAAATTAAAAAAAAATTGCTGATGGGATTGTTTCTTTATTGAACCTGTATGATATGCCAGTCACTGTGCTGAAACAGTGGAGAACAAGACACACATAGTCTCTGACCTCACAACCTGATTGGGCTGCATACTCCAAGGCACTGCTTATGAGTTACATAAATATGTTTAGATAATGTTGATAAATTGAGTTGTATATGAATATATCACCATGTGGGAAAGAAACCCCAGTTACATGCTTGATAAAAGCATTTGATCACATACTTGGTTACACATCAACATCAACTTTATCTTTGAACAATGAAGAATTAACTCCTAGTATTTCACTAGGGGCAAAGCTACCTTTGCCACAGCACATTTCAGAGGAAGTGTGATTGTAAGTTTTCTTCTTTGTCCTTCTCCCATATGGTGGTTGTTTTCTAAGATAATTTAATTTGGAAACAGATATTCTGTTTGTGAAGTTTATCACTGGGTAAGCAGGACATTTTGATTCACTTAAAATATATTGAATATGTAATAAAGGTCTGTGTTCAACTTTTAATATGGTTATAAAATTCTGCATTGCAAAAAAAAAAATAAAAAATATGCCTTCCAAAAAAGAGTGATTCAATAAGAAGTTAAATGATAATACTAGGTAGATTATCACCCCAGGTAAAAATGGAATGCCATTACCTATTGAATGAACACTCAGCTTCTCACTCTGGTAACCACAACCCACTATATCACCCCCATCTTCCTACCAAGCCCTGTCTTGTGTTGCTTGTATTGTTGACTGGGCTCTGTGCTTTTGCTCATGCTGTTTCTTCCAATCTGAACACCTTCCCTGCTTGCTGTTCATGCACTTACCAAATCCTACCTATCTGCACAGGCAGCTTCAATTCCACCTCTTTACCTGCCTTTCCTGAACCTATGGATTATCGTATGTCTTTGACCTTGTGCTCTAGATTTTGTCATTCCTCATTTCCCTTGTGGTTATTTGTGTACTTAGCTCATCCACTGGGATCATGGGTGGGGATCCTTTTTGTATCCCAGTTCTGACACAGAACTTGCACATAGTAGGATGTACAGAGTAAAAAGTATTTGCTGAAGGGGACATCTTTGCTCTTAAGTGCAAAACATCTTTAAGGCTCTTAAAGTGTTATATGGGACAAGAAAAACAGTCTATATTATGTAAGATAAATAGAACCTATATCCTAGAAACAAGATAAACAGAGGTATAAACAGGTGATATGGCTTAAGATTAAATGAAAAAGCAAAGGCCTCACTACTATCTTAAGAATATTATGATTAACATCAACAGCTGACATCTGGAAGCTCTATTAAGTAGTTTTTGCTTTTGTTAAATGGATAAGAAAAAATTACTTGAAAATAAAAAAAGAACTTTTTTCCAGGGCCAGTTCTGTGACTATTGCAATTCTGAGGACCCCAGGAAAGCACATCCAGTTACCAATGCAATCGATGGATCTGAACGCTGGTGGCAAAGCCCTCCTCTCTCCTCAGGCACGTGGTACAACAGAGTCAATGTCACCTTGGATCTAGGACAGGTGAGTTAACTGGCGTTGCGCAAATTAACTTGGATCATTGTTTCTGTGGTGATTTCTGATATAATAGTTATTTCAAAAAGCAAATTTCAGTTTGAATTCCTTAATCATTGTGAAGCCTGTTATACAATGTTTGTATTCCTAGTATTAAGCACAGTGCCTGTCACAATGCAGACACCCACATCTGTCTACTACATGAATTTAAAAAAAAATTGTAAATATTTTCATTGGCAAAGATACTATTTTTTTTTTTTTTGGTGGGACCCTCGCCGGCGACTGGGGAACGAACCATTGCTGTAGAGGCTGCGGGCAGCCTCGCAGCCTAGCGCTCAATCGCTGGGCCACCAGGGGAGGCCCAAAGATACTATTTTTTTTTAAAGATTTATATATTTATTTATACAAGAACCAGGGTACAGGCCAGATGCGCAGGAGGGTGAGAGGATTCACCAGAGACAGAGTGGGGAACAAAACAGGCAGACTGATGAAATACACTGCTGAGGGGAATAGCGGGCGAGACAGGAGAGGTCTGCCACACCATGTGGGACCCTCGCCGGCCGCCTGGGATTGAACCAGCGGTGCAGAGGCCATGGACAACTTCACAGTATGGCGCTCAACTGCCTGCGCCACCAGGGGAGGCCAATACTATTATTTTTGATTGTGGTAAATTAAACATAAAAAAATTGCAAAAAAAATTTGCCATCTTAGTTATTTTTGCATGCAAATGTCAATAGTGCTTAGTATATCCACAGTGTTCTGTGCTGAATCTCCTGAAGTCTTTCTCATCTAGCAAAACAGACAGTATTAAACACTAACTCCCCATACTCTCCTTCCCTGGTCAACCACCACCATTCTATATGAATTTGACTCTCAGGTTTCTCGATATAATTGGAATCATACAATATTTGTCCCTTTGTGACTGGCTGATTTTACTTAACATGATGACTTGAAAGGTCATCCTTGTAGCATGCATCAGAATTTCCTTCCTTTTATTTTTTTTTAAAGATTTATTTTATATATACAAGAACCGGGGTACAGGCCAGATGCACGGGAGGGTGAGAGGATTCACCAGAGACAGAGCAGGGAACAGAACAGGCAGACTGACTGAAATGCACTGCTGAGGGGAGCAGCGGGAGAGACAGGAGAGGTCTGCTCGCCATGTGGGTTGCTCCACGGCCAGCGGGGAACGAACCGGCACTGCCGAGGCTGCGGACAGCGTCACAGCGCTGTGCTCAACCGCCTGTGCCACCAGGGAGGCCCAGAATTTTCCTTCCTTTTAGAGGCTGAATAGCATTTGTGTGTGTGTGTGTGTGTGTGTGTGTGTGTGTGTGACATTTTCTTCATTCATCGACATTGCTTCCCCTTTTGGATACTATGAATAATGGTGCTATGAACAAAGGTGTAGTAAAGATATTTTTATAGCACCCCCTTCCTTGAAATCCTGATGTAATATAAATGGTGTTAATATATGAGACTGAATGAGGATGAAAATAGAAGATCAAGGGCTGAGCCTTGGGACTCTCAAACATTAAGAAGTCATGGAGAAGAGAAGGAGCAAGTGAAAAAGACTGGGAAGTAGACAAATGGGAGGAGGACAATCAGGAGAATGTGGTGTCCTAATGGCCAGATGAAGAAAGTATACAAAAAAGGAGGGAGACATGCCACGCTATAGTACAAAGACAGAGACCAATTTTAAAAAATGGACAAAAGGTATTAGGTAGTTCTCCAAAGAAATTTACAGTGCTCTCTAAATACATGAAAAGATGTTCAGCATCATTAGCCATCAGTGAGATGTAAGTAAAAAGCACAATGAGCTATCACTTTATACCCATTTGCAGGTTTGTAATTAAAAAGATAGATAATACCAACTATTAGTGCGGCTGTAGGGAAATTGGAAATGTCACACACTGCTACTGGGAATATAAAATGGTGTTACCTGCTTTGGAAAGTTCTTCAAAAAATTAAGCAGAGAGTTACCATATGATCCAGCAATTCCATTTCCAATTATAAATCAAGAAAAAATTAAAACATGCATCTACTGAATAGTCATTGCAGCCATATTCATAATAGCCAAAGAATGGAAAGAATTCAAATATCCATCAACTGATGAATAAATAAACAAAATATGGTATTTTGTTATTCAACAGAATAAAGGAGTCAGGTTCGGATGAATGCTACAACATGGGTAAACATTGAAAACATACTTTGTGAAGAAGCTAATCATGAAAAAAACACATCATATGATTCCATTTAAATGAAATATCTAGATAAACAAATCTATTAAGACAGAACAGAAGCTAGTGGTTGCCTACTTAATAGGTATGGTTGTTTTGGTAGAATGATGAAAGCTGTGATTGATTGGATAACTGTGAACATATCAAAAACCTTTGGATTCTGTATTTTAGATGGGTGAATTGTACGGTATGTGAATTATATTTGAATAGAACTATTAAATAATTCATGGACTGTGTTTCAAGGGAAAAAAGGAGAGAAAAAAACTGAGTCATATATTGCTAAATCAAGTAAGATAGGATTGATAATGACCAATAATTTGCCATTGAATTCAATGTGGAGGTCACTGGTGACTTAGATAAGACAGGATTAAAATATCTGACTACGAAGATTTAGAGAGAATGTGAAATTGAAACTTCTATTTCAGAAATCTAATATTAAGACTTTTGCTACAAAGGGGAGAAAAGAAGCAGGGGAAAAGCTGTTAAAAAGTCAGGTCAAGAGAAGATCGCTTGGGCCTCCCCTAGTGGCGCAGATGGTTGAGCGCAGCACTGTGAAGCTGTCTGCAGCCTCTGCAGTGCCAGTTGGATCCTGGCTGGCCAGTGAGGATCCCACATGGCGCAGCAAACCTCTCCTGTCTCGCCCACTGCTCCTCTCAGCAGTGTATTTCGTCAGTCTTCCTGTTCTGTTCCCCACTCTGTCTCTGGTGAATCCTCTCACCCTCCCGCGCACCTGGCCTGTACCCCGGTTCTTGTATAAATGAATTAATAAATCTTTCTTTTAAAAAAAAAAAAAAAAAGAGAAGATCGCTTGTTTGCTTGATGATGGGAGAGAGAGCCACACGTTTGTGTGCAGATGGCAATATGAACAGGAGGGAGAGGATTGCTACTGTTAGAATTTGCTAGATGTCAATAGCAACACCAATACTAACTTCTAGTGCTAATGTTTATACTAATTTTTCTGCTGGCTACAGTTGGGCCAGAGTGCAGTTGCTTGCAAGAAATAAATACAGGAAATGCATCCTACAGACTGGAAACTGAGTGATACTGAGATTTCTTCAAGTGGCTGCATTTATCTTCCATTTGGTTGGAGGTGGTTTCATGATAGAAAGGTTCTCAACCTGTTTAGACCATGTGTTGTGTTAAATCAAGCCTCTTGAGACTGTTTGCACTGTCAATTTGCATGTAAGATAAATGAGAGAGCGCCTTCATGGTTTCATAGACAGTAACCCAATTTCAACTCTGAATTGGTCTTATTCCTCCAACTGCCTACCTTTAGCATTAATTCAGTACAGATTTTGCCTATAATTACCAGATTTTACCTGTTATACCACTTATTTAACTGAGAATTTCTGTAGTTAGTAGGATTTTAATCCATCAGAATGCAGAATGATCTTTTCTGAACACATCAATGTTTGCTGGACTTACTCTTTCCCACTTATTTTATTAAAAAACAAAAAAATCAACCTTTTGATGTATTGAAAAGTCTCTGTGCAGTTCATCCATATGAATTAAAACAAAACAAAACAAAACAAAAACCAAAAAAATAACCACACCAGTATAGGATCAATTTAGTAAATTGCTGGCAGACATTAACCAAGCCTACATCCACAGGTAGACTCTGGTGCCCCACCCCCTTCCTCACTGGGATCCTACCCCGTGGGGTGCCTGAGGCAGTGGGTCTGGAGTCAGCCCACCTCACTCTGTATGTGGACAGAAAACTTTTGTAAAACCCTAAGCAACTTAATTGTTCTCTATTTCCTCACTTACAAAAGAAATGATAATAGTGTTTATCTTGTAGGATTGCTATGAGGTTTAAATGAATTAAATTCATTTTTAAACCTCTTAAGACCAGTGATTTTTAAATTAAATTTCTATGTACTCAAATGAAGAGAACTTTCATACATGCTATCAAACAGGACATACTCTAGGGCCTCCCTGGTGGCGGGGCATTTGAGCGCTGGGTTGCGAAGCTGCCCGCAGCCTCTGCAGCGCCGGTTCAATCCCCGGCTGTTCCCCGGCCACCGGAGGAGGGTCCCACATGGCGCGCAGACCTCTCCTGCCGCCCGCTGCTCCCCTCAGCAGTGTACTTCGGTCCTTCTGCCTGCTCTGCTCCCCGCTCTGGCTCTGGTGAATTCTCTTACCCTCCCGCGCTTCTGACTGTACCCAGTGCTTGTATAAATAAATAAAAATAAATCTTTAAAAAAAAAAAAAAGGACATACTCTAGAAAATAAGATATACAATATAGTCGAAAATACTCTGGAAAAGTCTAGAACAGGAAAAACAATGTGGATTATGTCATATTGAAGGAGTTTCTTCCCTCTTTTGTGTTGGAGCAACTTCTCTTTTAACAAGCATGTTTTGTTTTGTAAGAGTTGCCTTGTTGTGGGATCTGTGTTTCCTTTCTTTCCTGGAGTTAACTATGAAATGTCACAGAGAGGTTATGTTTTATCAGTGGATAAAATGACCGAAGATATTAGTGGATGAAATAACCTAAGGGCCTCCCCTGGTGGCACAACAGTTGAGCACTGGGCTGCGAATCTGGGCAGCGGCAGTTCGATCCCCGGCCTCCAGCGAGGGTCCCACATGGCGCGCAGAACTCTCCTGCCGTGTCCGCTGCTCCCCTCAGCAGTGTACTTTGTCAGTCTACCTGTTCTGTTCCCTGCTCTGGCTCTGGTGAATTCTCTCACCCTCCCATGCTTCTGACTGTACCCAGTGCTTGTATAAATAAATAAATATTTAAAATGACCTAAGAAGTTAGATTTAGAGAAGTA